CAGAAAGATGGGGGAATGACCAGAGGAAGGAGGGAAACAGAGTCAGGCGGGGAGGTGGGGCTGAGGTCACGTCTGGGTTCCGTGCGCGCCACAGTCGCGCAGGGGGCGGACCCACAGTGCAGTTGTTGACGCAGCCCGCCTGCTCCGGCCTCGGGTGGTGCTGTAACGCAAGGCATCGGCCTTTCCCTGCAGCCCCCAAGCCCAAGATTCAAACATGGTGGAGGGGACAGTGGCGGACGGACGCTGAGGGCTTGAGATGACTCAGCAGCGCCCGTCATCGGGAGGGAGCCTGGCGCGGGAAGAGGGGGCTCGCGCGCGCCCCTCTGCCGCCCACCTGCTCCAGCCAAGCGGCCGCCTGCCCGCGCCTGCCCGGCCACGTCACTCTCAGGGATCGCGTGTCCTGGGCTATTTATAGGTTCAGGGGGGAGCAAGCGAGCCCGAGGCTGCTGCGGGGGTGACAGGGCAGCGGCAGTGCTGACAGACCACAGAAGATGGGGATCTGCCTCTCTTGACAAGAACCCCCTCACCCATCTGAGTCTGGGTCCCGCCTCCACCTTCTAGGTAGGCGAGGTGGGACCAGACTGTGGGGCCTCCTCCGTGATCATCCTTTGGGCCCCTTCATCCAGTGAAAGCCACAGAGATTGAGGGTGGGAAGAGAAGGGCAGCCCTCTCCTAGAATCCCTTGCCCTGGAACTGCAAGGTAATTTCACCCCCCAAGTCTGAAGGCTTTCTTTTCTTTGAAACACGGTCTTGTTTTGAAACCAATACTCTCCCTGCGTCAGCCTGGAAGTTGCTGGGATTGCAGGTGTGAGGCAACATGCCTGGTTCTGAAGGCTATAGAGAGAATTATGTAACCCAGGCAGGCCATCTCCCGAGTAGTTGAGGTGTACATCGCCATAGCTGCCCCCATGGGAGCTCACATAATTAAACACCAGGTGTGGCCCACAGAGCACGCCAGAACTTCATTCTATTTGGTCCTTTCACTGACCCAAGCCATAATGAACCCTTTGGCAGATAAGGACTGTGTGGTAGAGATGGTAAGTGGTCTGCCAGACGTCACATCATGTCACACACTTTATACAACATAAACCTGTCCCTTTCACACTCAGGAAAACTAATGCCTAGAGAAGGCTAATTACTTGTCCTGATTATCAAGCAATCAGTGGCCCAGACATCTTACTGCCCTGTCCTGTGAACCCCAGTGCCTTAAGCCACTGGGATGGAGGCCAGCCTGAGATGCTGGACCAGGGGCTCCAGAAATAGATGCTCCCACCTCACTGGTGACAAGTGGGAATGTTGAATTCAAGCCTTATGCATGCCCAGTGTCTGCCACCAGCCAGCAGCTGGCCTGGAGTTCCCCCCACCCCCAGACTGTTTACCGCACTGCTGAACACAGCAGCTTTTTCGGGTGGCTGGGCCACTGACAGCCTGCAGCCTAGGGCCTGGGAACAGCTGGTGTCCCCGCTGTGGCCTCTGCCCTCCTCTGTGCCTGTTCTTGGGGAATCTGGCTGGGCCAGCAACAGTACTGGCCTGGGGATCCCCAGAAATCTGCTTCCAGTACCATCTCTGACCTACACATGCCCTTCTTCCTGAGCTCACCTGGTACACCCCACCTGGGTTCAAGGGAGATGAAGAAAGGAAAATCTGGGAGCCAGAGATGGGGAGACCTAGAGGGACAAGGGAGTCGATGCTGGAGACCTGGAGACGGGGAAGATTCAGACAGTGAGGTTTTCTGTGTAATCCCATCACATTGCTAGCCTATTCCCTTCGCTTCAGCCTTCTGCATGCCTCAGTCTCCTAGGGCTTGGACCAACTAGGGACCTGCTGAGACACTCAAGGAAGATAGCTACACACATGTAGACTTAGCCTCTTGTGCTTTATAGGAGATGGCCTAGCTTGTCCCTGTGCCAGCTTCACTGATGCCACCAAGGAGGAAGCCAAAGTCAGCCCCACCTTCCCAGCCCTTTTCCAGCTCCCATCCTACATCTGGGGCTCTGCTCTGTGTCTATGCACACGGTACTTCACTATGTCATACCAACAACTGGGAGCCCAGTGCCAGACTTGCGTGGAACCAGTAACTAGACAATGCTGAGTTTCTGGGAAGTCGCTGGGCTTCAGCTCCTTATCTAGAGAGTAAGTTGAGTAGCTTGGTGGCAGTGGCTCATGACTTTACTCCCAGCACTCAGGGAGCAGAGACAGGTGGATCTCTGTGAGTTTGAGGCCAGCTTGGAACAATGAGGCTCCTGAGTGCTGGGATTACACGTACCACCATGCCTGGGTAGTCATACACCTTTTCTTGTTTGTTGTTCAAGACAGAGATTCTCTGTGAAACAGTCTAGGCTATCCTGGAACTCAGTCTGTGACCAGGCCTGCCTCTGCCTCCCGAGTGCTGGGGCTAAAGGCATGTGCCACCACCACCCTACTGGGCTAGTCACACACTTTTTAAAGATTTTTTATTTTTAATTTATTTTATGTGTTTCTGTGAGTGTGTGTTACATGTGTGTGGATGCCCATGTGTGAGGATCCATTGTGGCCTTTGGGAATTAAACTCAAGTCCTCTGGCATAGGAGCAAAGCTCTAAACTGCTAAGCATCTCTCCCAAGTCACTTACTCTTGAATGAAAGGCTGCATCTGCATCGTTAAGGGCTGGAGGGGTTGAGTGGGTGGAGCTGGAGCTGGAACACAGGCTAAGTACATACTGTTTGTACCCTGGGTGCTAAATTGATTGGATTTCTAAGGCCTGGAATGGATTTGATGGTTATTTGGGTTCTTAATGATTGGGGCTCCCTGAAAAGTACACTCCTTCCATTTATTTTCCTGTAAAAGTTATCAGAGCTCATGGCAGGAAGGATGTACTTTACAGGCCTGGGGTGACATTCAGGAAGAAATGACACCACGGTGGAGTGTGGCTCAGTGACAGGGCCATTGTCCTGAGGGAACTGAGAAAAGTCAGTTAAACAGGCTTTTCTGAGAGATACCCTCCAACTTTGCTTAGTTTGCTTCTCTGTTTCTGTGACCGAAACCAAAAGGGTTCATTCAGTTTATAGATTACAGCCCCTTACCATGGGAAGCCAGGAAGAGCTCAAGGTAGGAACCTGGCGGCAGGCAGGGAAGCAAAGACTGTGGAGGGTGCTGCTTACTGAGGGCCTAGGCACCTCAGCAGTCCCATTGGCACTGAAAACCCCCAAAGTTCTTAGAGAGCCATTCACTGGTCCTTAGTCAGTAATGGAAGCCTGAAAATACCGCTTCTGGTTTCAGTGAAAGCAGCAGCATGAATTAGCAGTCCTAGAGGGAAGACTAAGCAGGGAAAGAGACTAATCTTCCTTCTGCAGTGATCCTTTTTGATCTGGGTCACTTCTAGGTGCCAACCAAATTTGGAGGTAGGTCTTCCTAACATCTGTTAAGGCCGTCAGAATTCGTCAGCTGAGTCTCCCTACTCCATACTCGGTAGGTATAGTTTGTGGCAGGTTGACGTTAAAACTAACCATAACCTTTCAAAACAGTCCAATGTCAACCAATCAACAAAAAACTCCAGTGAAGCCCTACCCTACAACTAAAGCAGCCACCAGTGAGCGAACAGCACCATCTCCTGGCCTACAACGGAACCAGTCCCTGTAGAGTGGGCCCAGAGCATATCGGGTCACATAACCCGATTATCTGGGATGGGGTGGTCTCCAACACCTTCTCCCTGATTTGGGCTGAGTTAAGCTTGGCAAAGGCTACCACACTTCCAGGTCTTGGAAAGCTTTACTGTCAGGATAAGTTAAGTCCAAGGTAAGCAAATGCAGGTTGCTACAGTGTCCCTCTGTGCCAAGCCTTGCACATGGCGGAATGGGCGAACTTCTGAGAAACCATTTCCTACCCTGCCTGGAACTGAGGAGGTAAAGCTGTGCTGCCCACTGTTCTCAGTGTCAACTCTTCACTTGTTCCCGTCATCCCACATCTCCTGCAAAAGGGACTGTGAAGACGAGAGCCCAAGTTTCCCAGGATAACCAGAATTCTCACGGCAGACCTGTCACTAGACATCCTGTCTCAAAGAGTCAGTTTTTTGCTCCTCTCCCCACCCCATTGGCTCCTGCTAAGGCTTGGGGGCCTTCATGACCAGGCAATCAGTCTAGATTGCTGTGTCCCATGACACCAAACCCCAGTTCACCTCACTGCACAACCACTTCCCCTCTCATCTGCATATTTGAGGTGGCTGACCCTACTTCATTATACAGCAGATTAAAGAATCAGTGCAAGTCCATGTAAAGTGGCGCTTGTCTCACAGCAAGTACTGAAAACCGGTGCCTGGGGTGGTGGCGACCGCCTTTTACCCCAGCACTCAGGATGCAGGTGGATCTCTGAGTCTGAGACCAGCCTGGTCTACAAGAGTTACTTCCAGGTCAGTGTCTAAAGTCACAGAGAACCCCCCCCCAAAAAAAAGTCGAGTACTTTTGTGACTTGCACCTTTTAGCCAGGCCACTATCTCAGCCACTCTGGAGAATGGATGCATTATCACTTACACCCATGAATTAGAAAAATAGGTTAACTAATTCCTAGGTGCCGCTTCTGTAACAGGGCACTGTAACAGGAGTTTCTGTTTTTTTTCATCTTATATTCAGGATTGGGATCAAGCACCATTACCCACAGAGCCATTACTGGCCTGTATCACCACCTTGGAGGAACTGGCAGGGTCTTAACTGTGTAGGTCATGCAATCCTTTTAACAGGTTCTTCTACTTAGCTCTAAGCTAACCTGGACTGAGGCCAGGCTGGCCTTTTTAAATCATCTGTAAGAGCTAGAACCCTAAGTGTCAAGTCATCATGGGTCCATAAAGGGCAGTTTTGAAATAAGTACTTTGAAGGCAAGGGTAGAAGCCATTCCTTGCATCCCTTCTAAGTTGGCTCACAGCCCTAAAGAAACACCCCCTTCCCATGGTCCACAAGACTCATTCATGTGACTAACTGGGATCCTCGGATCATTAAAGAAACAGCAGCCAAAACGGCTAATAAGAGGGCAACAGACAAAGGCTTGTTTTATTTTAATAACTAATCCTCCTGAGGCCACAGGCAGCCCACTATGTACAGACACTAGGGAAGCTTTATTTCTTGGTCTCTTCCTCCTTGGACAGAGTCTTGATGATCTCCTCCTTCTTGGCCTGGAGACGTTCCTCCCGGCGCTTTCGTGCTTCCTTGGTCTTAGACCTGCGAGCCTCAGCCTGATCACTAGCATAAGAAAAAGGATGGTTAGTTTGGGGACAGGTGAGCATCTCGGAAGACAGAAGTACATCCTAGATCTCTAACCCTCAAGAGCTTCATCAGCCAGAGGATCAGCAGCTCCCGTCTCACTAGGCCAATGCAGACAGATGGGTAGGCAGTGTGGGAATGTACAGGGCAAAGGAGCAGGAATTCAATAGCAGTGCTCACAGCATCAGGCAGCACAGGTCCCTTTTTAGTATTGTTACAACAAACGAAGGTCAGCCTGTACCCCAGGTTAACTCTAAAAGAAACTTACGCCAGGAGCTTCTTGCGGGCCTTGTCTGCCTTCAGCTTGTGGATGTGCTCCATGAGAATCCGCTTGTTTTTGAAGACATTCCCTTTGACCTTCAGGTACAGGCTGTGGTACCTGCAGGTGACAAGAACAGCTCTGGTGATCGATGGGACCAGAGGCTGACACTGTGGGCTGTTCTTCTACCCAGATTCTTTCCATCACCACAGTGACTACTGCTCCAAACCAAGACTTCTCGAGCAGCTCCTACATGGAACTTTCCTGGCAAATTTGATTCATGGGCTATTCTTATGGCATAGGGGATACCAAAAACAAAACTACCCTACTAGAATTAGACAACTCCCTTGGCAAGATTCTCTACTGACAGATCTATGAAAAAGACAGCCAGCAATGTGGCAGATGGCAGGCTTACATATGGCGGTCAATCTTCTTGGATTCACGGTATCTCCTGAGAAGTCGACGCAGGATCCGCATCCTTCTCATCCAGGTCACCTTCTCGGGCATTCTCGCATTGGCAGTACCCTTCCGCTTACCTGCACAAGAATTAGGACTCTATGTAAGACCAAGTCCACTGTTTAAGTCAGTTACAAGAGACAGCCAGCTGTACCTCACTTAGCTCACTCCAAACGTTTAGTTCCTGAACTTACTGAATAAGAAAACAAACAGCAGATGGTTTTTCACAAGACCAATCAGAGCTATACAGAAGAGTGTCTGGACAAACACAAATGCAATTTTTCCTTTGGGGAGTGAGGGCATCAAAGCTGGCCTTGAAACTGCGATCCACCTGCTTCACCTAACATGGAAATTATTGTCCTCTTATTCTATAGGCATGCGGTTACAATGGACAAAAGGTAGTATGCTGGTGGCTTTGTATGCAGTGTGACCCTCATCTCTTTAAACAACTGGCCTAGAAAATGGGTCCTAAAAGCTGGGCGGGGGGCCTATGTACTGGTGTCTGAGCTACCCACACGAGTGCTGGGAATCAAACTCCCATCCCTGCACGAGCACAAAGTGTTCCCAATTTCTGAGCCATCTCTCCAACCCCCAGTTTTAAAATATCCAGTATAAACTATAGCATAACAGACTTAACATTATTAACATTTTCTCCCAAGAACAAATACCCAGTACTAGTGCTAACTTACATCCCAAGAAAATACAAAGTAGTAAAATAATGGCACAAAATGAGATGAGAAAGAAAGTCTTCGTCAATGACTGGAACTGAACCCAGGTCCTTAGGCTACCCCATTACTTAAAAAGGGGTGGGGGCAGAGCCCATTCTCACCTATGCCCATATGCCTGCCCTTCCGTCGAGCCAAAGTGTTTTTCCTGCATCGGGCGCGAGAATGCACAGTCACAGGCTTCCGGATGATCAGCCCATCTTTGATCAACTTCCGGATCTGCTGACCTGGAAACACACAACACACATTTGTTTAGTTACCAAAGGCCTAGCCACAAATTCAGGGAGAGACATTGCTTATGTCCATGACCCAACATTCTCAAAGAGCCAATATCCTGGTATAGTTGTCATTAAAAAAGCACTTCTTCCTTTTAAACATTCACGCTGGGCATCGGTGGTGGACACCTTTAATCCCAGCACTCAGGAGGCAGAGGCAGGTGGATCTCTGTGAGTTTGAGGCCAGCCTGATCTACAGAGTGAGTGCCAGGACAGTCCCCAAAACACAGAGAAACCCTTTCTCAAAAAAGAAAACATAGCAAAAAGCTTTTAAACATTTTACAGCATACTTAGTATACCTGAAATGTGGGTCTAACAAAGGATGACTTGGAACCAATGTCATCTACCCCTCTGCTTTTGTCTTGGAGCCTCAATCTCTCACTACCCCCCATGCAGCTATAAAATGTTCACTTTGCACAGTTTATTAATGTAACTCAGAATGGTCACAGTAACCTCCAACCTATCCTCAAGCAAATGCCAATAAAAGGACCTGATATTTTAGCCCATATTACACCTCCCCTAGAATGTGAGCTTCCTCAGGCCCATAAAAAGCCCTCATTTATCTGATACAGGTAGGTGAGGGTGAACTTTACTCACGGGAGTTGGCATTGGCGATTTCATTGGTCTCATTGGGGTCCAACCAGACCTTCTTTTTACCACAGCGAAGGACGCTAGAGGCAAGCCTCTTCTGTAGCCTGAGCATACTGGAAAACAGAAAACACAATCAGGCCCTGGAAGCCACTTTTGCACAACGACAAACACTCCAAGCAAAATCTTCCCTCCAAACATTACCTAAGAAAATGGACAAAATACACACTATTATCTATATATCGTCATTAAGGCCAAATATAATTCCTAGTCCCCCCAAAAAAAGATTTATGCTATCCCTTCGTGTTCCTTAATAACCATTACCAAATCAAGATTTGTTAAGGCTGTGGGCAGTGCATGTAGATGTAAGAGCCTTAAGCCCAAACTAGGCCTTAGCTATCTGTCTAAAAGGGGGCTTTAAGCCCTTTCAGGTATCTAGAAGTAATTAGTTAAGGGTTTAGTGTTAAATGGATCAAGGATGTGACGAAGCCTGTTTACCCAGGAGGACAGGCGCAGCTCTCTGCTTTCTGGGCTCTTTGTCACAGTAATAAACGCCGTCCAGCGTCCTTCCAGTTTGCTACAGCCGTCCGAGAGGAAGCTAGCCCGGGGGCTCCCCCTCGATAGACGGAGGCCCGGGCCTGCCCGAGACTTGTTCCACGTCACATGGCCATGGTCCGCTAGGCTCCAGGCACGCCAGGGATCCGCTCCCTGCCGAGCAGCCGCCGCACTATCCGCGTGGTCGCCCGCGCCGCGAGCCGGGCGGAGAGCAGCGCCCGTGGACCTTTCCAGGCCTCGGCGCCCCGCACCCCACCCTCCCCAGGCCGTGCGTGTTCGCGTCCTCCCGGAGCTCCCGGTGCGGCCGCACCACCCCCGCCTCCCTCTCCCCTTCGCCATTCCGGGTAGCGGCCCTGATCCCCTACAAGCCCTGCCAGCCCCAGCGGCCGAGAAACCGAGAGCCGCGCGCGCTCACCTCATGGCTGCGGACGCAGCAGCGAAAGGAAAGAGCTTGCTGGCCGCGGGCTCCTCCCATTATCTGCGAAGGGGAGAGCCCAAGCTCCACTCCATGCTTGTCTGTATTTCCGCTCGACTTTTTCATCTTCTTCCATCTCAGACTCAATTACATACTTCCTAAAATTTTGTGATATTAGATGATTAAGATAGATAATCGGTTTTAAACTTTGAAACACAGACGGTGTACCCCTTTCATCGGGTAAAGTGGTTCAGTCCAACTTATCGGCACACATGCGCAGTGACGTTATTTGATCACGTGGTCATTCGGGTGGCCGGAAGTCTCGCTAAGTCGCGCAGGCGTGGTGAGGAGGGTTTGGCCCGATTGCCCTAGTCTTCGCAGAGGGCCCATCGTCAGTGGAAGGTTATTATTTTAGCTGGGAGGAAATTAGCGAAAGAAGCATTAAAGAATAATGATAGCAGAAAGCAAGCAAACGCAACTTCGCATCCATTCTCATAGAGGAAGAGCGGGTATGAAGGCTAAACCACCAGGTTTATCCCGGTGCCCCTGCAAATCCCTAATCTCTGGGTGCTTCCTCCATTGTAGGCTGAACCTAATCCTAATATTTTTGTCATCCACTTGTGAAAATCATATGCATCTACTTTTACAAAGAAAGGTACTAAGCCAGGCAGTGGTGGCGCACGCTTTTAATTCCAGCACTTGGGAGGCCCAGGCAGGCAGGTTTCTGAGTTCGAGACCAGCCTGGGAAAAGCTACACAGAGAAACCTTGTCTTGAAAAACTATTTTTTAAAAAAAGAAGAAGGAAGACATTAGCGTAAGCAAGCGGGACCAATGTTTGGCTCACTGTAGCAAGCAGTTTTTGAGCCATTTTCTTGAGCATTAACCCTAGGAGAATGTCATGGAGTTCAAGAGTTGAAACATCTGCAGGTCTGGAGCAGGGCACCTGGTTTGCTTCCTTAATTCTAGCAGTCAGATGAGATTGAGGTAGTAAGATGGCCAAGTTGAAGGATTCCAGGCAGTCTGGGCTGCAGAATGAGACTCAGTCTTTTAAAAAAAAAAAAAGTCTGGCCAAACAGGATGATACATACCTATAAACTTGGGACGAAGGAGGATCAGAAGTTCAAGGGCATCCTCAGCTCAATATGAAGTTCAAGGCCAGCCTAGAGTACTGGAAACCCTGACATTAAAATAAGAAGGCTGAGATGGCACAGGGTTGAGTACTTGTTGCTCCACCAGAAAACTATACCTGGGTTTCCAACACCCATATCTGGAGGGTTCACAACAGCCTGTTACTCCAGTTCCTTGGGATCTGAGGCCATCTTCTAGCCTCCTCATGTACCCATACATATTAGGCTGGCATGCATGCCCACAAACACATACACCTAAACACACACCCCTTTTTAAAAAGTTCAAGATCTGGAGCTGGACATGGTGGAAGCACTGTAATCCCAGCACTTGGGAGGCAGAGGCAGGCAGATCTCAGTGAGTTTCAGGCCAGCCAACCAGTCAGGGCTGTTACATGAAGAAATCCTGTCTAAAAATACAACAAGCAAAAAACCCAAACAAACAGAAAAACAAAAAAGTTCTAGATCAGGGTTTTGGTCCTCATTCTTACTTGGTTCAAGAGTCTTTCTCTTTTATGTAACCCAGATTGGATGGCCTTAACTTTGTTTTCCACCTCTACCTTCTCTCAAGTGCTAGAATTGCAGGTGCAGGTCTGTGCTTCCATGTTTCTCTCTGTCTGTCTCTCTGTCTTTGGTTTTTTGAGATAGAGTTTCTCTGTGTAGCTCTGGTTGTCCTGGAACTCGCTTTGTAGATCAGCCTGGCCTTGAACTCAGAGAGATATGCCTGCCTCTGCTTCCCGAGTGCTGGGACTAAAGGGATGCACCACCATCGCCCAGCTAAAAATGCAGCTTTTTAAAGATCTTCATTTTGATGGTGGCACACACCTTCAGTCAAAGCACTTGGGAGGCAGAGGCAAGGCAGATCTCTGAGAGTTCAAAGCCAGCCTGGTCTATAGAGGGAGTTCCAGGCCAGACAAGGCTACATAATGAGCCAGCCATGTCTCAAAACAATCAAATGAGTAAAACAAAAAACCCACTTCATTTTACAACTTAAGTAAAAGACCAAGAACACAGGTCTTTCTTTCTCCTCCTCCTCTTTTGCTGTTGGCCTTACCTGGCCTGAACTTACTGTGTAGATCAGGCTGGCCTCAAACTCACAGAGAGGCTTGCCTCTGCCTCCTGAGTACTGGGATTGAAGGCCCCTACCATCATGCCTAGTTGGAGAAGCCCATACTTCCCTCTCAGGCAAGGCTCTTTTGTCTTCTGTGTGCTGGTGGAAACCCCGCCAGTGTTGGCGATATTCATGCAAGGATACAAAGTTTCATCAGGGTTCATGGTCACAATGATGTGACCAAAGAATGAACATTCTCTTAGATCCAGAGTGAGGATGACCCTGAAGAGCTCAAGGCACTCAAACAGAATACAGAAATCTGTTTATATTTGATGAGCACTTGACCTTGACAAGGCTTCACTTGGCCTCTCAACTCTGTGCTCTCTGTGGATCACAGAATAGGGTGAAGGGAGGAAATAGTCCTCTTGCCACAATGACCCCTACACTGCTTTTCACAACACCTCCAGAACCTTAGCATCTTTTTGTTGTTGTGGGGCCATTTTTTGTTTATTCATTTTTTTTTTTAATGTGTAGCCCAGACTGGCCTTGAACTCATGATCCTCCTACCTCTGCCTCCTTCAGCAAATCCTACTGGCATGTGCCACCACAACCCGTTCATTGATGTTTTCTAATTAGTTCTCTATATGTAGCTGAGGCTGGCTTCAAACACACTATGTGGTCAAAGCTGGCTTCTAGCCCCATTGTCCTGCCTCATGCTGGAACTGCTGCTGTACACCATCACACCCAGCTTCCAAACTTCTTATAGTTTTCTCATCTTTGCTAATAATTCCGGTAGGCAAAGGCACCATGGTGCCATGAACACCATTTATAGGAAACTGAAGTACAGAGACAGGGTCTCTCTGTATAGTCCTGGCTGTCCAGGAGTTCACTAAGAAGACCAGGCTGACTTCAAAATTCACAGAAATCCTCCTGCCTCTGCCTCCCTTGTGTTGGGATTAAAGGCATGCTACACCCCACAACCAGAAAGAGCCTGAGCCCAATTAACATCGGGTTGCTAGGACCCTAGTCCTCCCCACAGGCCAGGGACATTTGTTCCCCAGTCAAGGATAAAGGAAGGCCAATCCTAGGTCAACCGACATTCATGGCATCTGGTTTTGAATAGTGCGTCTCCATTCATTTTCATGCTTCCTCCTGTTTTCTTTCTGTTCTAAGCCAAAGGGGGACTTATAGTAACTGATGAGGCAGAAGCACTTCTGGGTCCCTGGACAGCATTCCTACTGTCCCTGTTGGCCTCTCCCTTTGGACCCTCACCCCATCCTCAGTCCCAAGCCAACAGCACTAGAGCCAGGCTGGAGAGGGAGGTCTACGCTGCGGGTTTCATGGCGACCTCGGTCCCATACTGGGGAGAAAGGAGTTAAAGCCAGGTCCCAGGATCACAGGGACCGGGAAGTTCCGGTGGCCCAAGCAGGAGTCTGTCAGGAGACCCGCTGGGAGAGTAGTTTGGGACAGAAAGGGAGGCAGTACCAACCTGCGCTTCAGCACTTGGTACTCCCTGGTAAACGCCCCCACCTCCACCCCAGCCTTAAGGCCAGTTTCCTCTTGGTCCCCTGCAGACTGCCACCAACCTAGGCTAATAGGAGGACAGCGGTCAAGCCCCTCTGGGATCGGGAGGCCAGCTGGGCTCCACCACCCCGCCATTGTGTGCGCGTTACCCGCGGAGGGGCTCGAGGGGCGGGGCCGCGGCGCGGGGCGGGAGCGAGGGAGGGGCGGGAGGAGATGCTGAGCCTTCAGGGGCGGAGGCGGCGGCGGCGACGGCCGCAGAGACGAGAGCGCGAGCCGGGAGGGCGGCAAGGCGGCGAGCGTGCTGCTCGAGGTCGGACTGGGCGACTGCACCCGGTGCTGGCTGCGCGACGCCGCGCTGCTCTCGGCTCGGACGGCCTCTCCCATGCGCTGAGAGCGCCTGGCTTGGCCGGGCGGGCGGCCGAACGGGAGGATCCTCTCCATGGTCCAGAAGAGCGGAATGTCCCGGGGCCCTTACCCACCTTCC